CATTGTGTTTCGATCCGTTTTTTTTGAGACACCCTGTATATACACATATATATAGATATTGTATGTTACTTATTATTATTTAATATTATTTATAATTATTTTTACGACTTATATTATTTTGTAGATCTTTCCACTGCCCCGAAAGAAATATGCAACAAAGAATTTGATAAAGTTAAATATTTAAAGAAAAAGTTGGAAGAAGAAAAATTGAATCAGCCAACAAACTTCTTTCGAAAAGTTATCGAACTAACACGTTAAAGAAGCATATTAAGAGGTTGACTAGAAACAACTTTGAAAACCGAAATTATGCGAAATTAGAATCAGCAATTAAGCAAATATTTACTGATAACCAAATAGAAGCTTTTATGCGTCGATCTTCACGCATCCATACATGGTCTAATAATACCATAAGAAAAGCACTCCGATTGAAGATTTCTTGTGGTAGTCAACTGGTTATCAACAGAAGGAAAAAATACGAGGGTCGTCTGAAAAGTTTTGAGATCATCATGAAGATGGCGTTACTCGTCAAAGCCATTCTGGTATTATAATAGTGATACTTACGAAAGATATCTGTGACAATTGTGGCCACTTTGGACGTTCAATTCTTGTTTGACAATCATTTGTGTCGTCATTTTGTAAAAATGGAAAAAATTGAATATCGTGCTATAATTAAATTCTTGCATTTGAAAGGCAATACGTCTACGCAAATTAAAGCTGAGTTGGACGCTGTTTACGGGGACTCTGCCCCATCATTTGCCACCGTGAAAAGATGGGTAGCTGAATTTAAACGTGGTCGTACCAGCTTAGCTGATGATGAGCGTTAGGGACGGCCAACAACTGCGACCACCACCGATAACATCGAAGAAATTCATCAAATGATAATGGACAACCGTCGAATTAAGGTTAGGGAGATAGCAGAGGCTGTTGGCATATCAAAAGAACGTGTTTGTCATATATTGACTGAAGAATTAGGCATGCGTAAGTTAACCGCGCGTTGGGTGCCGCTCTTGCTCACTCTGGATCAAAAACGCATTCGAATGAACATTTCTAAGGCC